ATGCTCTTAACTTCTATTTGTTCCTAAAATTCATTCTCTCGTTTTAGAAAACACAAACTCATCCCAGGTACCTTTAAGGTTGGGAATTTTATTCCCCTATATCAGTCTAACAGCTTTTCTTTACCATCTCAATTCCCCATGAACTGTAAATGCAAGTCAGGGCAAATTGTCATTTTTCTGTAAATTCATTATTGGTCATGCATGGCTCTCCTGTCCCTCCCCATTTTCAGCTCTGCCCCTTTCCCCAGGCCCCTGCGTGGGCCTCTGGCTCTCTTCCTCCTGAGGTGTGAGGGTGGTCACCAGCTTGCTCCTTCCTGCTATACTCCTCTGTAAGCGCTTCTAGTGTTTCCTCCTAACCTGTCCTAGCTTCACACAGAGGTTTGTGGGTGTTATGGTTTGTGTCTAGTTGTACCCCAAAGCCTCATGCAATTGTGGGACACCCTAGCCCTGGGGGGGGGTAATATACATTACCGCATATAGTCTAGATAGCTGCCAGAGCTGCTGCCCATCCATTTGCTCTGTGCTCTTTGCTACTCTGTCTTGGAGCCAGCTTACTATGTACTGAAACCTCCACCAACTGTGAGCTAAATAAACCTTTCCTTCTGTAATTCTGGCTGTTGGGTATTTTGTCCCACCAAAGAGAGAAAAGTAACTAAGAGAAGGTGGTTTGCCATTTCTTTGTTTCATCAGTGATGGAGTGTGAGTGTCTGTTTCTTACCTTGTGGCTGTTTGTGGCCGATTTCCAGGAGGAGAAGGGAGCATCACAGTTTCATGTTATCTTGAAACCAGGAGTCTGCCACGTCTTTTCTTTGGTTTTGTTTTTGAGATGGGCTCTTGCTACGTCCCCCAGCCTGCCCTCAAACCTGTGCTCTTCAGCAGCTTCCCATCTCCTCTGAGTAGCACAGAGTTCGAGCGCCTGCTGTTGGGCTGGCTTCCCGCAGTTTCAGTCCCAAAAGCCTGTTCTGTGTTACCATGATTGGGCTCCACAGCTGACACTCTTCTGGATGAGCTCTTTTGAGAACACAACAGGGCATCAGGCCTAGAGCAAAGTGCTCAAGCTTTACAAGTCAGGGACTACATTCTGTGCACCTTTCTACCCCTAGTTTCTAAGTAAGTTTTTGTTGCGCTAGAAACAGAATTAAAGCATACATAGGCTGGGCCTATGATCCCAGCATAGGGAGACCGAGGCAGACCTGAGGAGGATCAAGGCCTGGGTATACAGTGAGACCCTGTCTCAAACAACAACAAAACAAAGCAACCCCCCCAACCCAAAAAACATGGCATACTGCCATATAAGCTACGTATAGAGCATTTATTTGTTATTATTTTGTTTTATTTATTTTATAGAATATTTTTAAAAAGAATATTTATTACTATTATTATTTATTTTTTATTTTTTTGGTACCAGGAATCAAACTCAGGACCTCATGCTTGCCAGGCAGGCACTGTGCCACTGAGCTATCTCCCTGGCCCTATTTATGTTTTTAATTATTTGCATTTGTTTATATTCATTTACACATGAGAATTTTTAAAAAGCAATTCAAAAATGGGGGATGATGTTTTCTTGGCTAAAGTTCTATAGTGTGAAAACAATTTTTAACCTATTTCTTACAACTTTATAGACCATGTTAATTTTTCTTTTTCTTTTTGTTTTTTTTTAACACTTGAACTCACTATGTAACCCAAACTGGTTTTGAACTCAAGGCAGTCCTCCTGCCTTGGCCTCCAGATTGCGCCACTGTGCCCAGCCATTAATGTGAATGGTTTAGAAACATTCATGTATAGTAACAACATGTACTTTGTTTTCTTTAACAGGCCAGTAGATACACAGAGAACATTTTAAAACCTCGCCAGGAAATGAAATTAAAGAAACTGGAAGAACGCTTTTATCAAATGACGGGTGAAACCTGGAAGTTAACCAGTGGTCACAAACTTGGGGTTAGAAAATACTCTATTTTGAATCCTACTATTACTTATTGAAGCCTTTTAATGAATTTTTAGAAATTGAAAATAATGTTAAACTGTACAGTGTGACTTTTAGGAGTCTTTGCTGAAGAGGATTGCATGGCAGTTTTTATTCAGTGTGCTCATGTGCAAAGTTTTTAGTGTCTCAAGAGCACATAGCTTAGAAAAATCCTTTCATGAGGCGGTTTTCAAGAAAACTAAAGAAACCACTGTTCTAAGGAAATTTTGATCTTTCCTCAATGTAGACCTCTAAGGTATTAAGCTCACATTGTGTTTGGTTCTGTTTTTAAAGCTAAATTAGCCTTTGATTGTTTTTTCCTTCTGAGGTTGAGGACACATTTTGTCATTAACTAATATAAGTTTACAATTTTAAGTTTTCATAGAGAAAAGGATATTAGAGTAACTGGCAACAGTTTTGATGTGTCAGACCCATTTCTCTTCTAAAGACATTTTTTGTTTTTTGGTAATAGGCTTTTTATTTACACTGCATTTCACCATGTTGTGAAAAAAAATGATTCAGTACAGATAAACAGGGTTCTTTCTTTTTTTTTTTCTTTGGTATTTTAGGGAAGGGCCTATAAGGGTGTTCAGGGTCTTACTACTAGATTGGACTCCCAGTGATCCGCCTGTTTACAGCCTCCCAAGAGCTGGGATTACAGGGGTGCCACCATGCCCAGTCTCAATTGCTGTCTCAGAGTGCCCTGGGGGCGGGGCTTGAGGGCACACACAGGGATTGAATCTCTTGCCCCTGTGCCTGCTTGTGGACTCTTTAATCTGCTGAGCTATTTGTCCGGCCCTGACAGGGTTCTTACAGTAAGCTCTGGATAGTAAAATTAATGTGAATAATGGGCTACAGAAAATAAATTGCTCTCTGTAGTGATTTCACTGTAATTTTTTTTGTTTGTTTTGAGACAAGGTCTGACCTTGCATTCAGTGTGTAGCCCAGGCTGTCTTTGAACTCACATTGATCCTCTTGCCCTGGCCTCCCGAGTGCTGGAATTATAGATATATACCACCATGCCTGGCTTGTGATTTCACTCTTGAGTTTGCCATCTGTTCAGTTTTTTTCACTGATAGACATTGGTTGGTTGATTTTTGTTGTTTTGGACACAGGAACCGCTGTATTGTTCAGCCTGGTCTCACCTCTTGGGCTGACATGGTTTTCCGAGATCAGCTCCGACAATGGGCACACGCTACCCCCCTGGCTTGCTAGGTTGACTTTAGCCTTTTCCATAGTGAATTTTGCCCTCGAGTTTATGTTGTCTTCAGGGTACTACTGGTACATATTTTAACCTCATTAGTCAAGAACGTAGCAGCTAGGGGTAGGGTCAACTGCTAGTAAAGTAACAGAGAGCATGGGAATCACAGCTGAAGCATAGTCTTAGAGCGAGGATTGGTGCCAGCCCTGGAGTTTGCATGGAGTGGTCTGGGCTGGACCCAGCAAGCTAAGTTTTTTGCATTAAGATTTCCATTCTCCATGCTTCCACCAGATTTGCTTAGGATAAAGAAAGAGGGATTGACCCCCCCCCACCACCACCACTGATGAACACTGTAGTCTGATAAAGAAAACTTTTTCTTAAGAGCAGTTTTTAACTGGGCATGGTGGCACATGCCTGTAATCTCAGTACTCGGTAGGGTGAGACAGAAGGATTACTATAAGGTGGAGACTAGCCTTGGGGCTATAAAAGTGATTGTAAGGCCAGCCTGAACTGTATAGCGAGACCCTGTCTCAAAAATAAATAAGGGGCTGGTGAGATGGCTCAGTGGTCTAAAGCACCTACTTAGAACAAGCTTAGCAAAGCACAGGGACAGCGGTTCAATCCCCCAGCACCACATGCCAGCCCCGCCCCCTGGTGGGCTGAGCTACACACACACACACACACACACACAAATAAATAAAATTAAAAAAAAAAATAAATAAGAGTAGTTGTTATGGAAGAAGTTACTAAGCTAGTAAGTATATATTTGAGAATTTAACATTTGAGTTAATTAATTTTGCTAAAGGAAACATTTTTGTAGATAATATTAATAAGGATATGGTGGTGTATGCCTATAATCCCAGCACATAGGAAGCTGAGGCAGGGAGATTGCAAATTTGAGCCCAGTATGGACTATATAGTGAGACACTGTCTTAAATACAAAAAGGACCACCCCCCCAAAGAAAGTACTCTTTGTAATTTCTGGGAAAAAATACTTTGTTTCCTAGTATTTCCCTGGTTAAAATGGAAGAACAAAATTTGAATTTGAAAACTAGATTATGTTTACATATAATCAGATAGAACGGTCACATATGAAGACACAGGGTTTTTTTTTTTAAATTTTATTTATTTTATTTATGTGTGTGTGTGTGTGTGTGTGTGTGTGTGTGTGGCCAGCTCAGCCCACCAGGGGGCGGTGCTGGCTGGCATGTGGTGCTGGGGGATTGAACCGCGGGCCCTGTGCTTTGCTAAGCTTGTTCAAAGTAGGTGCTTTAGACCACTGAGCCATCTCACCAGCCCCAAGACACAGGGTTTTAAATGTGTTCTGTTTTCACAGCCTTTGCAAGCGTATCCCAGTACTGGCTTGCTTCAGGCTTTTTTCTTTTCTCCCATCCTACTGCAAAGCTTAGGGGCTGACTAGAGATGGGAAGTGTCCCACCAGCCTCTTGTCTAGCGGAGGAGACCCCAGAACTGGATAAGTTTATGGTATTCTCTGTGAAATATTAAGCCCCATGTAAATGTCCAATGCCCAAATGTCCAATGCTTTAATTTTTTTTTTGGGGGGGGGGTCTAATGATGACTTAACACTTTATTTTTTAATGGAAATGCCATTATAGTAAAACAAATAACCAATTCTATATTGAGTATAGAATAAACTGATGAAAGGGAATTTTCTGCTGTTTTTGATCAGCGTGATGAAAATTTGGTGCTTGAAGATATGAGCCAGACATCTTTGGAAACACCAAATAGAGAAGCTGCTAAGAGCCGAAACCTGCCTAATGCTGTCATCAGAGATCTGCCACCTGCTGACCAGTCCCTGCAGAAGGAGGTTGTTGTGTGATGCTGCTTTACTGCGTTGTGTTCATGCTGTCTGTGGTTTGCTGGGGGAAGACACCTTACCACCCGAGAAAGTAGCCATCTTCACTAGACGCACTTGTCTTTTTTCACTTAATATTAGGGTTTTGAACCAAACTTCAGAGGAGAACAACAAGCCAAATTATAATAATTTGAGAGGATAGTTCTTTTTGAGGAAGTAATTTGATTATGTGGAAATGAAAGATATAGTATAAGATAAGGGAAATATTTCCATTGGATAGTTTTTGTTTGTTATTTTTTTTCGTTTTTTGTCTTTTTGAGACAGGGTCTCACTATGTAGTTCAGGCTGGCCTTGAGTTCACTTGTAGTCCAGGCTGGTCTTGAACTTGCAGTGATCCTCCTGCCTCAGCCTTCTGAGTGCTGAGATTACAGGCATGTGCCACCATGCCTGGTTCTCTATTAGGTAGTTTTAAGACATTATTATGCCACGTTTGGCTAATATGTGCCACACAGGTGGAGTATTCCTTTTATGTGGTCTTTTGAAGTAATTTTGTAGTTTTGTAGTATAGAATTTTTCACGTGTGTCATTAGGTTTGCCCTGAAGAACTTTCAGATTTGGGAACATTTCAGATTTCAGATTAGGAGTGCTTTAGCCCGTATGAATTTAAGTATATAATTTTCCTCAGGGAATGGGTTTGCAATTTTGTTGCTTAGAAATAGTGCCCAGGCATATTTCTCCTGGGTTTTTAAATTTATTTATTTTTTGTTTTTTCTCTCAAATCTTAAATTTTCTAATTGGTTCTGATTTGGAGCTATAAAAGATTAAAAATAAAACTATTTTTACTTAGGGAAAGCTGTGAGTCTCTGCAAGTTGACTCTAGTACCATACACAGTTTCCCAGTCTGAGATTCCCTAGCCCCAGAGTAGAACTTGAAGGGAGTAATCAGGTAGTTAAACTTTACTGTCATTTCAAAAGTGAAATGAACTTTATGGACTAATTAAAAATTTGATCTTTTTTGATGTAGTTTGGTCTGGCCTTAAGTATACTGTGTAGCTCAGCGTGATGAAAGGATTATAGGCATGAGCGATTATGCCTGCCAAAAATTTGAAATTCATTCATTCTTTCTTTTAATAACCCTCATGCTGATGGGAAATTCTGGTTGACAGTTGTGTACTCGTGATACCAAGGAAAAGCAGATGGGTTATTTTGTAAATGGAAGTCATGTTTGTTAGAATAGTGTAAGAATGGAGTCTGGTGGCATTAAAAAATAAAAAGAGGGTCCTTGAAAGTGAAGCTCTTAATAAGAATTAATGTTATAAGAGCTAATGGTCTCAACATTTGATTGCATTTTCTTTTCTTTTTTTTCTGTGGTTTATTTATTTGTTTATTTATTTATTTATTTATT